TCTAGCTGCGGAGCCTCAGGGAGCCCGGCGGCTTAGCAGTTTAATGGGTGAATAAGGACATTTCAGAAGTGTCCCCTGCCATGCATCCAACACGGCTTGTCGCACCGGGAGGGGACGAGCCACTCGCACCTGCTTTCACTGACGGAGGTCTTGAGAAAGTCACTTGATATTTTTAAAAGATGGATGGACCCACCGCTTCCTGGGCTCTGTCCGAGTCGCAGTGGGTGTGACTGCTACTGCTAAGCCCGCGAAGGGGTCGCCGCGTCCGAGGTCGTGGTCCCTTGGTCACCTGGTGTCGCTGCAACGGATGGGCCGAGTGCTTTGTTGAAAGTAAGAGGAGACGGTGGCTGGCTGCTGCTCCGGAACCGGAAGGTGGGTGGCAGGGGTCTCCCTGCAGACCTAGTGTGGCGAAACAGCCTGGTGACCTGCTCTTTTGTGTACTTGTGGGAGTCTTAGTGTGGCCCCCCACTCCCGGAGACTTGGTACCAGCCTGTCCTGCATCCTCAGGGCCAAGCAGTAAGGGCTTGAATTATTCGATCTCCCATGTACACTGCCCCTAGAGGCGTTGCAGATGTGGCTGCTGTGTCACATTTGTGTCATTAGGTGGCGGAGAGCAGAGAGGCTGGTCTACGCTCAGCGTTCTGGCCTGTGAACGTCTGGGTGATTGATAGTCCGACATGCCAAAGTGCGTTGCACTGTCGGTGTGTGTTGGCATCCCGAAGTGGCTCAAGTAAAAACTTTAATTCTTTCCTAGTTCTCGGCTGCTGTCAGGTCGCACGTTGTCACGCGTTTGGCAGGAGGTAGGAGTGGGCCCGGCTCAGCGGTGAGTGGACAGGTGAGTAGGTTCCAGGCTGACTTCCTGAAGATCTGCCGCATTGGATTACAAAAATTGTGGTGGTAGATTTTTCCTTTCAGGGTGAGTTGAATGTCACCTAACAGTGGGATAATTTTTACTTTAGGAAGATTTAAGTGTTAACAAGGCATTTATGAGTAGCTGGCTACTCTGCCTGCTCCTAAGACAAGCTCGTGGACTGCAGCCAGGAACGTGGCAGGTCACCTTGCAGGATTCCTACGTGGGACAGCTCTGCAGGCCGGCTGCATGTGCGTTCTCCAGCAGGTGAGGCTTTTAAAAATTCCAGGGCCTTGCAGGTTTCCTGGTGACCACCTTCCCCTCCTCTTCTCTGGGCTTCGGGTGGCTGGTCGGTACCAGTAGCTCTCTGGGGGAGAGGGTGCAGAAGCCTCTAAGAACAGACCCCCTGGCTGCACCGTGATCCCCCGAGTTCTCATACTAAGCTCCTACCGGGGCCAGCAGCGGCCACCGAGTCCTTCGTAAGTTAACTACACTTTGGGCTGCCCATTGGGGGTCTGGAAGGTGACAGTGGAAACTGTAAAGGGGTCCACAGTCGGTAGCAGGTTCAGTTTTAAATACTGAGTGGGGAGGGTAAAACAGTCTGGTCACCCTGGCCATGGGCCGGGGCCATCCGAGCCTCGACTCGCGGCCGGCTGGGAATAGCTGCCCTGCAGCTGCTGGTATGGCCGGCACCACAGACGCAGCTGCCGTGCTGCACCTGTGACCTCGGGGCAAAGAGGAAGTGGCTATTTCTACGCTCAGTGTTCAGAACAGTGAGCACTAAGAATGGTTTGTAGCCTGACATTTCTCGGAACTGCCAGCAGGTGGCGCTGGTTTCCACATGCGCTGGTGGGGTTTGGGGGGACCCCTAACACCGGGTCTTCGTGTGTAAATGGGGTTAAATGAAGCGTGTGTGTGCACGCACACAGGAGTGACCAGAGTCTCCTCCTGGCACTGAGTGTTGGGGGCCTTTTCCGCAGTCCTTGGGCACGTGGGGTGTGCCTCCCTGGCTGAGGACCACTGAGCTGGTGCGAATGGCCAGGGTCCTGTCCCATCAGGACTCCCTGTGGGGGCCCCCAAGGCACTGGGCGGGGGGTCAGGAGACACCTCACCCATGAACATGCTGTCAGGACCCTTGGGACAAGCAGGGCACTTACGGAGCAGCAGGGGGTTGGTCAGCGTGGGGACTGGGACGAGGGCCGGAGGTATACTCGGGGCACATGTCCTGTTGAGACAGAAGTCGAGGCCCCTGGGTGGGCCGACCATAACCCTGTGAATGGTCATCCAGCCCAGGGCCCTGGGGAGTGTGATCAGTCAGGCTGGCCTTGTCCCCATGCAGGCGGGGAGCTCAGAGCCATTCCAGCCACACCAGGTCTGCGGTCATGCTGGCAGAAGCCAAGAGCCGTTTCTTAGAGCGGCTGAACAGATCTACACATGGCAGAAGCCTGAGGACAGTGGCGCCCCACCGAGATGGCAGCATACTCCTGACGACCCTGTTCGTGCTTCCTGTGAGCCCACCCCTGGGTGTGGCCAAGGAAGCCCAGTGTGACAAATGCATGGAGAGCCGGTGGCCAGGGGGCCAGCCCCAGGAGTCCTTTACAGCACCCACCCGTCAGCCAAGCACTTGGGTGGGATGGGGAGAAGCCAAGTGTGTGTCAGTGCACACTTGCCAAGGGCCGAGCTCAGGGGTGACAGGCACGGGCCTGCTGGACATGCCTCGGGTATGTAGGTACTTCAGATGGAGGAGTTCAGGGTCATGCCCCAGACAGCTAGTCAGATTGTATGCCAGGTAATAGAACTGACAAATCCCGAACCTAAGCCGGCCCCGTCTCCAGAACCCAGTCCAATTTATGACCAGCTCTAAAGAGTTGGGTCGAGATTTAAAATGCCCTACCCTATGGAAAAAGCCTTTTCATAGGTCTGGCTGTGATGCTAGCCCGTGAGCTTAATGCCACCAACTGCTGAGTCTGCAGAAGGGCCTTGGGAGGGACTAGTTTAATGCTTAGCATCTCCTCCAGTGGACTCACTCTGTAACGGGGAGGGAAGATGGCTGACCCCAAAATCGGATCCTAATCTCCGAAGTGAGCAGTACTCCTGTGATGAGCGAGTGCTGGGGTAACCACCGTCGGTGGTCCCGAGCGGTAGACGGCACTGGATGGACGGTTCTGGATACGTGGGAAACGAGCACATGCCCAGCTTCTGGCACAGTGGGGAGGAAGCCGCACCATCGGAATAATCCAACCTGGGCTTTTCCTCCTACCGAGCCAACCGGAACGAGTTAGGAGTCCCCCTTAACCACAGTCTAAGGAGAAGGACTGAGAAGCCTTGAAGTTGGGGATCACAGAGGGGAGATGAATGGCCGCCTCAAAAAATTGAAACCTATGGTCTTGCCACTTGGGCACAAGATGGGAGTCGGGGCTGCCAAACCCCCACATACATGCTTAATTGGATCATCAGCTCACAGGCAGAACTAGAAATCATTGCTAGCCAGACAGCCCTGGCCCTAGATGCGCACAGCAGTGTATCAGAACCACGTACCTTGAGACAATTTGCCAGCAGAAGGGAGCGTGGGGAGAGTGACCGCTCTGACTGCTGTTCTAGATGCTGGGACAGCAGTAACTGACAGCAACTCCAGGAGGGTGGCACGTGTACCTGTCCAGGTTTGGGAAGGGCGGGGCCCCAGTGGGATCTTTGGGGGGATAGTTTTTCACCTTTGGAGAATTCAGGGCCTTGATTGGGGCAGTCCTTTTACTAGGAATTTGCCTGGTCCCTTGTCTTGCCCAGCTTGTCATCTGTTCCATCCCCTCATTGAAGCTGTAGTTGGAAAAAGAAAAACTGCAGCCCCCGTGTTCACGTTATGGAAACGCGCCCGTAGACCAAGAGCAGCGTGAAGGCGATGCGCTCTGGCCCAGTCTTGGGCCCGGGCATTCAAGGGGACACGGGGCAGCGGAGGCCGAGCCAGCCGTTTCCTGCAATGGCTGAAGGCTGTTTCCTTCCCGTGATGGGTGAAAGACTTGCCAGTGGCACAGGCCACCTGCTCTGGTTGGTTACTCCCATTACGGCCAGCCAGCAGTTCCAGATACACTCGGGAGAAAGACAGGCAAGCCCGACTGAGGAAGTGTGAGGCGTGTGTGACCCATGCTAGGTTTGGGGCTCAGCCTTTGACGTGAACCCACTGCAATAAACGCTGCTTCCTGCTTCCGGCCTCGGTGTCTGTCCCAGGTGTCCTGCAATGTGGTAAGGAGCTCCCTCGTTTAAACAATACAGTGAGACGGTTTGTGTCTGTTTCTGAAAACGGAGTGTGACATTTAAGCAGGAGCTGCAGACCGGTGCTTCTCCCCCTGGGGCAGTCGTGTGCCCTCCTAGGCCGGGAACAGCGCTGAGGACAAATGGTGGGCAGAGGCCGCGGTGCTGCTGTGCCTTCTCCAGTGGGCAGACGGGGCCTGAGTGTCCATAACGCTGAGGCTGGCCAGCCCTGCTGTGGCCTGTGGGCCCCTGAAGCCAGTGTGGGGGCGGCTGGCCTGGTGGCTCATCTCCCCGTCTCAGGTGCAGTGGTCTAGGAGGGGCACGGGCCCAGCTTGGTGCTCAGTGGCCAGACAGTGAAAGATACCACAGCACGTGCTCTGTCACTTCAGGACGGTGGGGCTGGGAGGGAGGCTGGCTGGGGGTCTGAAGCTTCTGGATGCTTGCACTGGGCAGTGGTTTGCTAGAACCTGGCTGGGAACGGAGCATGGAATCACCCTCACCTGGGGGAGGAGTCGGGGTCCGCGGGCCACTGGAAATGAACCCTTGAGCGGGAAGGGGTCAGCCCTGTGGCCCTGCCACCAGGTGCGGGGTGTCATGCCCGTCTCCTGTGCTGCCCATGGCAATGCTTGGAGCACTCGTGCTCGGCTCTGCCCGCACTCCGCAGCAGCACCTTCCAGAGCCCAGGCCCGGCGGGGAGTCGTCACAGTTACGAGCGAATGGTGCGCGCTCCTGCGGCCCCTCTGTGCAGGGCTCACGTGCACATTTGGGGACACGCAGGTGGCCGTGGTAGAAGCGCAGCTCTGTCTCCAGGCGAAGTGGCCTCGTGTGGGACGTCTCTGTGCAAACAGTTGTCGTGTGCTCGGCAGGGATCCGCTCAGCTACCGACAGCCCGGTGGAGCCCGGACGCAAACAGCCCACTAACGCACGTCGGCGGAGGGTGCCGGGTGGCCCTGTGGCCACACGATCCTCACTTCCCACAGCTAAGGGGGCCACACTCATTTCCAGTGGTGGCGATTCCTGGTGACTGTCCCCCCGCAACCTGCGTGGCCGTGGCGAGACAGTCATGCCGTGCTGGCAACGCTGCTCGATGGGCCGAGGCGGCTCCTCAGGTCTTGGGAGGCCTGCGGTCCGGTGACGTAGTTCCGAGGCGGTGACAGAGCTGGCTCCGTGGGCGGCACCACCGTCCTGGCTCCCGAGCGGGCCAGGCTGTCTGCTTCCGTGCTGGTCTTGTGTGGGGCGACTGCTCGGGGCGGTGACGACACGTCACGTCACGTGGTTCTTGCCATCTTCACGCAGAGGCCTGCAGGCGGCCCGGGAACTGCGGCGGCGCGCGGCCTCCACCGCGGGTGGCGGCTCAGGTCCGGGGCCGGCCTCCGTGCGGCGGGGAACGTCGTCAGTGGGGCGAGCCTCCAGCCCTCCATCGCGTGGACGGCCCCTCCCACGGGGCCCGTGCGTGAGGAGCCTCGTGGGTCGTGAGCCCACTTTTCCCCGGATCTGGAGGCCGAATCGGAGACGATGTGTCTGGGGCGAGTAGAGCACAGGGAAGCCTGGCTGTGAACCTGTGGGTCCCGCGTGGCCGGGGCTTCTGGGTCCAGTATCCGATCCCGAAGAGGCAGTCTCTTGCCTGCAGGGTCCTTCCTGGCTTCGGGGACAGCACCCATGGGACCAGCCGGAAGGAGGTTCTCGTCCCGACCCCTTGTACAGCAGCCTCATAGGCCGGGGCCACTCTGCCTTGCTGAGTGTCCTTCGTGACCTGGCACTTCGCAGACACGCCTTGGGTGATGTTCCCGATGGCGTCTGGGGACCCGCGTCTGTCACCCTGACGGTTTCTAGCCGGACCTCTAAAGCCGGCTCCGAGGTTAGCTTTAGCTCCGCGCCCTGCTTTAAATCGTTACGTCGTGACTTTGCTCTGTCATCTGTAGTGTGCCTCGTGGCGATCCTGCACCCACGTGGAAGCCGCGATGTCAGCAGGAGATAGAAGGGCATTTCACAAAAAGCACAAAGTTTTCACGCCAGTGGCCCAGCCACGGTGGCGGCTTCATACATTCCTTCCTGTGGTGGTCCCCACACCCGGGTCACGCGTCTGGGAGTGGCGGGAAGCACAGACCTCCCTGGTCCACGTGGAGAGACGACCCGCTTCGCAGGCACCCGGCTTGGGAGGCTGCCTGACACGCCACAGATAACTGCGTGGTCACCTGACAGCCTCCTGTCCACGCATCCCCGCTCATGACACGCCTCACTGTTTCTAGGCCACATGGTTTGTCTGCTTTTCAGATTGTAAATCTCAAAAAAAATGTTCTGATATGTTGAAAAAATCCCCATGTAAGTGGCCCCCCCAAGTTCAAGCCCACGTCCACGTCAGCGTAACCTCGGCAAGCTGCGCCCACTGTCCCGAACTGCGTTTTCCTGCGTGTGGATTCTCCCCCCCACCCCCGCCCAGAAGGGGAAAATGTACAGGAAAAGCTATTTCGACGTATTTAGGATGAAGTTTAAGTTACTACTGAGAACATGGGTATCGTGGTTGAAATTTTGGGACACGTGTTTTAAGCAAAAAGTGCTAAAGTGAATTGAAGGGTTTGTTTAATGCATTTTTCTTCAGGGACAGTGTTGGCAAAACATGAGACCGTCATCCTGAGCAGACTCGACGTGTGTGTTCCTCAGCCTGGCGAGGCCAGGACGGGAATGGGGCCCGGGGGAGGGGCGTCGGGCTCCTGGGTGGGAAGGGGCGGGAAAAACATTGGCGGCTCTTTCTCAGATAATGGATTTTACTTCTGGTGGCTCGTTACCATTAAAGACTTCCTGTGCCGGACGGCTGAGCAGCACCTGTCAGGTGTTAAGACCCACGCTTCCCGCTTGGTGCTGTGACACCTCGTTGGTCTTGGCCTCCTCCCAGGCCTTGGTCGTCTGTCATGCCGTAACCCAGGTGGGGGCCGGCCCTCGGAACTGGAAGCCAAAACCGAGGACCCACTCCCAGCACCCCATCTCCCCTCGTCCCAGTTAACTGCCTGACCCCCTGGCTGGCTCTGGGGGTGTGAAGGCTCCGGCAGGACTCAGGGACCACCCGCCGAGGCCTTCTGCAGCAGGCGACCCTGAGAACGGCACGCTGCCTCTCCGGTGCTGAAGGCGAGGGCAGCCCCCACCCACTGCACGCCCTGCCTGCTGCCGCGTGGCCTGGACAGCAGTGGGCAGGGGTCTGGAGTGGGAGCACGAGCACCCACAGAAAAGCGATTTATTCACATCAGCGTATCTCCAAAGTAACAGAACCCATCCGGCCCGGGTGGGTCCCCCTCGCTCAGGCCCCAGGTCCCCTGCCTCCCGCTCCCAGCCGTCTGCTCCAGCTGCCTGTGTGGGTTGTCGGGATGGGGGGAGGAGGGCCCCGGGGTCAGGAGGGTCACCTGGCCAGGCAACCAGCAGGAGACGGGGCTGGACTCGGGGCGGCCTGGGTCCCCGGCTCCCGCAGCCCTGTCCTCGAGCCCAGGCAGGGTGCGGGGGTGGGGGGGGCGGCGGTG